CAAGTGAACCGAATAAATTGTCAGACCCACGGATCTCTATGATTTTGAATCAAATCAATGTGAACATTTCATATGTCAAATGGAGGTTAAATGCGATTTCGATAAACACATAGACGTTACCTGCTTTCCAGCAATGGAAATGCCCAGAAATAATTATCAGGCTTACTTTTTACGTCTATTTACTCTTCATCGTAGCTAGAGCATGTACATTATCGTTTTTCAAGGATATTGCGATTTAGAATATTATGTCATGATTTCTGGACTTTTAACATACAAATGGCTGAACGGCTGTCTGTTTGGTTCACTTTTCTTTTCTCCTCAATCTTATCCTTTCCTCAGTGCCAGTGTTTTTATGAATCGTGACCAAATTGCTATTATAAATAGTGAGTGCGTATTAATCAGAGATATCTTAGAAAACTCAATGACAAATGGATACCTTTTTGGGACTGTGTTCAATTTGTCTTAACCTTACGCAATTATTTGGACTAGCGGATCCAATTACATTCTGATATTTGCATAATTATCTTTGTATTTTGATAATGCATATCGTTTTAAGCAATTTTATTCTTCTTTTTCGAAGCGTGCAGGGTTCGGTAATTCTGTTAATTAAGATACAGCCATGACGTGGATTTTGACGACTCCGGCCATTGCAACCATTACCCCTTTTCTATAAAAGTTTTTGTTTCACATCGATAACTCATCTTAGCAATTTAATTCCATCACAAAGTTTGTTAAGGCACTGTTAAGGTTCAGAGTTGTACTTGAGAAATGACTTGTACAGTAAATTTAACATCCATTATAATAATTAATTAGAATGTAATATAAAAATAGCGTGACCTTTAAAGTGTTCTGCTTGAAATCTGTCCTGGAGGTTTATCCGATAAGGCTACGAGGAGAAGGTAAAAGACGTTTACGAGACGGCGAAGAGAGAGCGTGACGATAAAAAGGGCTTGGGATTAATATTGGGTTTGTCACCTAACAGATTCAGACTAGTGACTTAAGCAATGTCAGATATTATAATTATATTAGTTATGATGTTAAGATACAGTTAAAAATTAGCGTGGCTCGTGACATCTCGTAATTAACAAGTCTGCAATTCTTTTAAGTTTTAGACTGCTGGGTTGAGGAACGGTTTGTACAGCGAATGAGCAGATGGAATAAAGTGAACATGAAGTTTTCCGACGATGACTCACTATCGATTCAGAATGAATGTCCGGCGACCAGTGACTATCCGACCACACAACCGAAAGCGTTGACGAGAAAAGTCAGCGATATGACACTTTGACAGAAGGAAAGAGAATAAGATATATATCGTATGTTCTCTTGGTATCGTTTGATGAGTTGACATCATTAGTCTCTGAAATTTGGACGACGTATATTCTTGCGCTGCCTAAACAAGAGGATCACGCAACTTGAATTCCTAGCGTATCTTGCATACAACAAGACAGCGAGCTTTCCTAGTGTATTATTGAGGAATTATTGTTTCAGCTTATTGAGTTGCGATGACTACTGAGGAGTGGTACCAGCAGATACGGGTATTGAGGCAGTTAGGGAGGGAAGAACAGGTGGAGTTTGGAATTATTGACAGCATTTTTGGTGACTGATAAGCGAAAGAAAAGTACGCCTTCAAATTACAACGCTGAACTTATAGTTAAGCGCGTCAATATCACGTCTTCCTTTCGTGGACATACCGTCGTTTGAAGGCTGAAGAGTGCTATTAGATTCTTAGATAGCTTAAATGTAGCTCTAATACACTCAGGATTATTTTTTACCATGCTTCCCCTCTCACAGTCGAAAATACCATGCTCAATGACGTATTTTTTACAGCATCATCGGTAGTACAAAGTGGGGAGATTTAGATATCATTATGTGCAGAGTACCTGTGTGAGAAGAATTCAAATGCCCTTATCATGAATAACTTAAGTAATTTGCTCTACACTCGTCCAGCTAAATTTGACATAATGCAGTGAGTGTGATTTAAGGTCTAAAAATATTTGTTCCTAAAATCATAACATCTAAGATTCCAATCCAGTCTATAATACCTGTCAAACCCTATTGTTTGAAATTTCGAAATGCACTACTGGTCATAAAAATAAAGTCTCCTTGGAGCCAGCATGAAATCCTGTGGACGCTAATTGTCGGAGAACGTAAATCACGTTTATACAGCCGAAATTCTGAGCTGATTGGGTGCTACTTGTCTTCATCAGCTAGACATATTTGTTTATTTATATATGAAGCGCGTGACATCGTTCATAGTAATCCTATTTGCATTCGACTTCTCACTTACTTGGTCATT